AAAAGGAGCTCTGGTAGCGTAGTGGTTACGAATCGGGCTGCGAACCGCAAGGTCAGCAGTTCGAAACTACCAGCTGTTCTGTGGGAGAAAGATGGGGCTTTCTGCTCCCGTAAAGATTTACAGCCTCAGAAACCCTGTGCAGGGTCGCTATGAGTCGGAACCGACTCCACGGCACATAACAACAACAACAAAGTAAGGTAGCTATGAGTTCCTCAAGGCAATGAAACATTTGAAACGTGGCTAACATGAGCAAGAAAACGAATGCTTAATTTTAATAAATTTAAATCACGGCAAATGACTAGCGATTACATTATTAGGCAGTGTAGACTAGATCAACTCTCTTATTCTTCTCATTGACAAGGGGGCGGGTGAGAAACAGCTTCTCTTCCCCGGGACCCTGACGTTCATCTCTGACCAAACTGGACTTCCTGCTAATGAGCTTCTCTTCTTCGAATTTCTTGCTTGTAAACCCAGCGTCAATTCTAGGTGCTGAGATACCTGCAGAAGTCCTGGTGGTACCGTGGGTTAAGCACTGGGCTGTTAACTGAAAGGTCAGCAGTTCAAACCCACCAGCGGCTCTGTGGGAGAAAGATGAAGCTGTCTGCTCCCGTAAAGATTTATAGTCTTGGAAACTTTATGGGGCAGTTCTATTGTATTCTATACGGTCATTATGACCCAGAATCAACTCGACAGCATTGGGTTTGGTTTGGGTTTGGGTTTGGATTTTGTTATACCTACACACTGCAGGCTTGCTTTGTGTGGGGTCTTGCCTGGGCAACAACATCATAATTGAAAAGAAATAAAGAATCAAGGTTGGGTTTTATGTTTGTCCAAGTGTCTGGAGGGAATTGGAGATGCCTATGGAAAGACGTGGAGTCCTGGTGTGGTGGTGTTGGTTAATGTGCTGGACTGCAAAGTTGGTTTGAACTGCAAGGTTGGCGGTTCAAGCTCACCAGCTGCTCCTCGTAACCCCTATACAGGGTCACTATGGTTGAGAACCGACTTGACGGCACATAACAACACCTACAGGCGAACTCCCTCTGATGTGCACTCCAGAATGATTTACAACACAGATGTCAAACGCTGCTGAGTTTTCCTTTCGCCTGAGACGAGCTCCTATCTTTTCTTCCAGAAACAAGAAAGAGCAACAACTCAGCCTTGGCCACCCACCACCCAAGCCCCGGGACCCTGGAGCAGTGTCTCAGTAAGATTCCCCTGCCCTCCGCCGGGGACCCAGAGCTGTTCTCCCTGCTTCCTCGGGGACAGGAGCTGATGGCTCAAGAGAATCTGCAGAGCACATCTAAGAAGTTGCCCTGACCCTCCCGATCCAGGTTCCTATGCTTTGGCACAGGTGGTCTTAAGGACCCCATCCCTGGGATCCAGGTCCCTAACCTTTGACACAGGTGGCTTTAAGAACCCCATCTCTGGATCAGTCATAGAAGATGCACCTTTCCAACCCAGATAGAAGGAACCAGAATCTCCATTCTTCAAGATTCCCAGGAGATTCTTGTGGAACTTGAGGATCTTGTTAAAATGCAGATTCTGATCTGTACATCTGAGGTGGAAATGCTCATTCTCAGCAGGAGGTGGAACCGGAATGAACCAGATCCAAGCCCTGATTGCAGAAGTTTGGGTCAAGAGACATTAGTGAGTCCGAGTCTGCACAGCGCTTGGCCCTTTGCATGTTTCTGTTCATTCTCTACTTGAAACCTTCCACCTGCAGGTACTCGCTCCTGCATAAAGCAGCTCCTGTCCCCTGTGCATGTCCAAGTAGAATTGCGCCCCGGAGGGTTTCTGACTGCTGAGTTTTTGAAAGGAGATCACCAGGCCTTTTCTCCAAGACACCTCAAAGTGAACTCATTTCAGTTAGCAGCCCAGCACTTAACTATCTGCACAACCTAAAAGATCACTGGGTGGTTGCTCTCAGCTATGAACCAAAAGGTTGGTGGTTCAAGTCCACCCAGTGAGGCTGCTACAGAAAGGCCTGGTGACGTGGTTTCTTAATATTAACCAAAACCGAACTCATTGTCATAACTTTGATTCCAACTCATAGTGACCCTATCTATACAGGGTTTCTGGGACTGTAAGCCGTTACATAGTGGTGAGGAACATCTGGGCTGCAGGCCATATTGTTGTTGTTGTTGTTAAGTGCCATCGAGTCGGTTCCGACCCATAGCGACCCTGTACAGGGTTTCCGAGGGTGTAAATCTTTACGGGAGTAGAAAGCCTCATCTTTCTCCCGCAGAGCGGCTGGTAGTTTCGAACCGCTGACCTTAAGGTTCGCAGCCCAATTCGTAACCACTACGCTACCAGAGCTCCTTAATCATTTCATCTGGCCCTGCCAAGGCAACCGCAGTTCCAGCCATCACATTGTTGTTGTTGTTTAGTGCCATAGAGTTGGTTCCGACTCGTAGTGACCCTATGTAGGGTTTCCAAGGAGCGTCTGGTGGATTTGAACCACTGACTTTGCAATTCAAACTGACCTTGCGGTCCAGTGCTTATCCTACAGTGCCACACCAGAACTCCAGTCATCACATGAGAGGTGAGTTAATTAAATGCTGACCACATACAGCAGACTAAATTTTAAGTTGATCATTTTGTATGGCCCATGAATGATGGTATAAATAAATATCCAAATGGCCCTTGGCAGAAAAAAGTTTCCCCACCCCTGTTTTAAGAACAGACAGCCTCATCTTTCTCCCACAGAGAAGCTGGTGGGTTTGAACTGCCGGCCTTGAGGTTAGCAGTCCAGAGTCTATCTTACAGCACCACACAAAAAATCCCCTACGAATACAGTTCTAGCTGAAGCACACTGAGCCGCCATGAGTGGGCTCAATGGTAATGACTTCTATTTTTGTTGTGAATGCTAGCTCCCGGGTTATTACTGCCATTGATATTGTTGCCTTAGAGAAGGGGCCTTCTCTCTCTCCCTCAGATGTTGACTACTGCCCGCTCGCTGCCCAGTGCTGCCGCGCGGGTGTGGACGAGTACGGCTGGATCGCAGCTGCTGTGGGCTGGAGTCTTTGGTTCCTCACGCTCATCCTGCTCTGCGTGAGCAAGCTGATGACACTGACCCCAGACGAACCCAAGGACCTGCCGGCCTGAGCTGAGAGCCAGCCTTGGGAAGGGGTGGATGGCTGTGCTAATGTGCTTTCTGCTGTCTAGTCATGCAACGTTAAGCTTCAGTTCCTTTTGCAAGAGAAGGAAGAAGGGGGTGGAGGTGCATCTAAGAAGGCAAGAGCTGAGCCCTGGCATGCCCTTTTCATGACGGTCCTCGGGAGAACTCCCATGCTGGTGACAGCTCATCACAAGAAATGTTGAGTGTTTGGTCCACACATCTGAAACCAAACTCCTGGCCTCACCAAACAGGCTCCTTCTTGCTTTCAGTCAAGGGCATTACTCTAGTTTCAAAGTAGGAGAACCATCTTTGACTCCCCACCTCCCTCACCCCCAAGCCCAGTCCATGCCCAGCTCTTGTTCTTCTTCAAGCCATTTTCCCTGGTTGTTCGGTCTCTCCATTCTCATCACCAGCACCCCTTCACTACAACTTCTGCAACTGTTTCTAGAATGTTCCATTCATCTTCACTGCCTTTGGGGTCTCCCTCTTCATCCCACATCTGTCACTCCTGCCTACTCCTCCTGTGATTACAGTAGACTATTCATAGATGTCTGCTAAATGATGGACAGAGGGATAGACAGATGAATGGATGGATGGATGGATGGATGGATGGATGGATGGATGGATGGATAGATGGGTAGACAAGGTGAATGGGTAGACAGATAGATGGGTGGGTGGGTTAGTGGGTAGAAGGGTGAATGGAGGACAGATGGATGAGCCCTTGCCCTAGATTCACAAATGGTCACCACTGTACTCAGAACGTCCATTAGTCCAGATTGTTGAACTAAAACAACCATCAAAGATCTCACTGTCTGGTCACTGCGTCCCCAGCAAACGACAGTTATAGCCACATAACACAGAGGACAGAGGACAAAGGACAAAGCCACGCTGTGAACTCTACGGGGAGCATGGGGAAGGGAGTTGGAGGAACCTGAGGAGTTATCAGAGGGAAGAAACACAGAGGACTCTTTAGGGAACAATCTCTGTCCTGTGTTTACATTGGATAAACTCTGCATAGTCCTAAGACTAAAAAGAAAAATGAGTGGCCCATAAAACAGGGGAAATCTTTTCTGAAGGTGGGAATGACCCAAAGCTGCTCACCTGCCCTTCCCTGCCAGACCATTTCCATCTCAGTTGTTGAGTGGGCACAACATAGAGGATGTGCTCTGCTGAGTGTTGAGGGTCACGTGTGTACAGTGTCTGCATGCACTGTTGGCATACACATGGGCACATATTCCACTTATTTAGAAATTCAGGGTCAGGGAAAGGGTTTCCACCACACGTGGTGGTGTGTTGTCCTTGAGATGAAAAGCAGCAAGCTTGATTTAATATCTGTAAACACCTTTAGAATAAAAAATCATGTTATAATGGAAAGAGCAGTCAAAAAAAGAGGAGGGGCTAAGATGTACTTCTGGCCAATAGGAGCATAAACAAGTCACTGCGTTCCCAGCAAACAACAGTTATAGCCACATAACACAGAGGACAGAGGACAAAGCCACTGCTGTGAACTCTACGGGGGAGAATTGGACCAAATCGATGGCTTCAAACTCGATTATAAAACACATTGAGTTATTGGAGGTGCTGCCTGGGGTTGGGGGTGGACATGAGGACCACGTGGTCAGACAGACATGGTGGTTGTTAGTTGTTACTATTAGGTACCATTCAGTTAGCTTCATCCCATAGCAACTTTATGTGTCAGAATGAAACATTACCAAGTGTTGTGCCATCTCCATGATTATTATTGTTGGGCCATTATGTCAGCCCATATTATTGAAGGTTTCCCTCACCATCACTGCCGCCGCTTCCGCTCTTCATTTCACCAAAAATAATGTCCTTCTCCAGTAATCAGTTCTTCCTGATGACATGTTCACAGTAAATGAGTTGAAGTCTCAGACAATATCCTGCAACCCACAGCACAGAGTTATCAATGACAGCTTTTCTGAAATAGATCAGACAGATCAAACAGATGTTTGTTTCTCGTCTGTCTTTGTCTGGAGGCTGTCCAGTATGGGTGACCCTGATGGTATTTGAAATACCACTGTTGTAGCTACCAGCAACCGCAGCAACACTCCAGCCACCACAGGACAACAAACTGACAGACGAGTGGTAGTCATGGTGTGGTATTCTGGGATAATGTGCTGAGGAGTGGCTGGTGAATTTGAACTGCCGACCTGGACTTTTCATTGTTTCTATCTCCCTGTTAGGATTGACATCTGTCAAGCCCACACCTTAGTCAATAATAGGTCCCACATTGCTAGACGTTGAGTGAAGTTACCAAACCTCATTTTATTCCAAAGACAACATTGTGATAGATTTACATCTGAGCTAGTTGTTGTTATTGTTGTTGTCAGGTGCCATCGAGTCGGAACCGACTCATAGCGACCCCATGCACAGCAGAACGAAACAATGTCTGATCCTGGGCCAAACTCACTACCGCTGCCACACTTGAGTCCATCAATGATGCCACCTGGCTGATCCATCTCGTTGGGGGTCTTCCTCTTTTTCTCTGACCCTCCACCTTACCCAGCATGACATCCTTCTCCAACGATTGTTTCCTCCGGACAATATGTCCAAAGTAGGAGAGACGAAGCTTAGCCATCCTGGCCTCCAAGAAGCACTCTGGCTGCACTTCTTCCAAAACAGATCTATTGGTTTTTTTGGCAGCCCATGGCACTTTCAGTATTCTCCTCCAACACCACAACTCAAAGACATCAATTCTTCTACAATCCTCCTTATTCACTGTCAAGCTTTCGCATCCATATGAGGCTATTGAAAACACAATGGCCTGGGTCAGGCGCACCTTAGTCCTCAAGCTGACATCTCTGCTCTGAGCTAGTAGTTTTCTTTTAATGTGAAATTAAAAGAAAAAAGAAGTTGGCTATAAGTTCAATTCCAGCAGCATGCACTTCAGCTGAATTCAACCCTAAAATGCACAATGAAACACTACTTACCCAGTATGAGGAAGAAAATCTGGATACAACATCAATGGGATTAGAAGAGATTACGCTGAGGGAAACAAGTCAATCGCAAAAGAACTAATATTGTATGACCTCACTTGTACAAAGAGACAAGAAAAGGCCAAAGTGTAGATCAAATTTATTAGTGGTTAGTCCCCTGGTAGCATAGTGGTTACGAATCAGGCTGCTAGCCACAAGGTCAGCAGTTCGAAACTACCAGCTGTTCTGCGGGAGAAAAATGAGGCTTTCTGCTCCCGTAAAGATTTACAGCCTCAGAAACCCTGTACAGGGTCGCTATGAGTCGGAACTGACTCCACAGCATATAACAACAACAGTCCCTGTGTGGCACTATACAATCAGCACTAGACTGTTAATCACAAGGTTGGTGGCTCAAACCTCCCAGCCACTCCTTGGAAACCCTATGCAGGGTTGCAGTGAGTCAGGACTGACTTGATGGCACTTAACAACAACCAGGAGAGGGAGGGAAGAGGAAGGGGTGGTTTACTGCTTATGGAATACCAACTTCGGGTTCACAGTGGTAGGATTGCAGACTTGATTCTTATCTGCAATTATTATGTAATGTCGTAATATACATAATTATTTTGCGTACTGTTAAAAGTTGAATTGTAAAAATTTGTGTGATAGACTTTTACTACAACCAAAACGGTAGCTGGTGAGACTGCTTGTGAAATCCCATTGAGTCAAGTCCAACCCATAGCGACCCTGTATAGGGTTCCCAAGGAGGAGCTGGTGAGCTTGAACCATTGACCTTGCAGTTCAAATGATCTTGCAGTCTGATACATTAGCCCACAGTGCCACACCAGAACTCCGAGCCCTGATTGGTGGCACCTAAACATTTCAAGCATGCGGTTGTTGTTGTTGTTGTGTGCCATCGAGTCTGACTCATAGCGACCCTACACAGGGTTTCCGAGGCTGTAAATCTTTACGGGAGCAGACCACCTCATCTTTCTCCCCCAGTGAGACTGCTTATGTATAACCAAATACCCCCATGGGATTAGGCTCCTTGATTTGGAGGTTTAGGGTCATGGTTTTATGAGACATCCCAATTAACTGGCCTAATAATGTGTTTAGTGCTTCTGTTCTACCATCTAGTTCAATATGTAGTTCTTTGGTTCTTAAAAACTTGCAAATAAATGGTCATTTGATGGCACAAGTGGTCTCTTGTTGCTGAGAACAAGAGAGGAAGGAGATTCAGGAATTGGAGGAAAACATGGAACACGTGGTGAATTGCCTCTATGAATAATTTTGCCATGAGACCAGAAAAACTAGATGCTGTCTGGCTACCATTATGGAACATTTTGATTAAAGCTTCTATAGAAGAATCCTGATCAAAAGGGGGCAAAATGCAGAACATAATTTCAAATTCTCATGGAATCCAAACTTTCTGGAGTCCTGGAGGCTGAACAAACCTCTGGAACTATTTTTCTGAGATAATCTCAAAGCCTTAAACCCCAAAGTCTTCTTAAAACCAAACAATAGTTTAGCTTAACTAGTAAAAGAAGGTCAGCCATGAGGAGTAACACTCTTTTAAGAACTATCCATATAGGATTATATTGACAACAGTAACTCAAAACATTGGACAAGAACCTTAAAGGGCAGTGAGTTTATATTAAAGGGGGGAGGAACAACTCAGAAAAGGTGGGTGAGAAGGATTGCACAACTCGAAGACTATAATCAATGTCATGGAAAACTGTTGAATTGGTGCATGTTATGTAGCATAGTGGTTACGAATCGGGCTGCGAGCCTCAAGGTCAGCAGTTCGAAACTACCAGCCGTTCCGCTGGAGAAAGATGAGGTTTTCTACTCCTGTAAAGATTTACACCCTCGGAAATCCTGTACAGGGTCGCTATGGGTCAGAACCGACTCGATGGCACTTAACAACAACAATAACAACATGTTTGTTATATATGTGTGGCAGTGTGGGTTAGTTAATGCACTGGACTGCAAAATTGATTTGAACCACAAGGTCGGCGATTCAAGTTCACCAGCTGCTCCTCAGAAACCTTAGG